TGAGAGAGCATCATACACAACATGATCAGTGGGTGGGAGTTCGCTTAAGGATTGGGAGTAGAGAAAATTCATATGGTATTTAGGCTGTCCTCCGATGCATAGGGGTATAGCCTTATCCTACAATTTGTTAAAGGACTATAACCTAGCTATCTCCATCAGTTTATCAAAGAGATTAGCCTAGGGCATATGACATCCTAGAAATTCGAGAGTGGGGGAAGCCATGGTTTGAGAGTGAGTCATGTGATCTTTGGCTAAGTCGCATCTCACGATTAGTAAGCTTGGGTAGTCTAGTCATACGAACTGAACCGTATTTAGTGTTGTTGCTTACCACAGGTACACGGGTCATAGCAAGTAATATAAGATGAGTAAAGTATCGTTCCTTTAAGGATTTGTTTAAAAACAATGATCAATCAAAAAAATAAGCAAATTTGATCAAGTTGAGTCAAAACATAATTAGGTGAAAGTTGATTTAGCAAACTAAATTAACACTAGTAAATAAAGAAAAGCAATTGATTCACACACTTCAAACACAAATTAGGACCTAGGATTATTTATTCCTCTTGCATTTTATAGCACTAAAATTATCTCCTCTCATAAGTGCTTTTAATGAAAATAACTGCTAACTTAGGGTACTAAAAATACTTGAAAAAGCTCTCTGAAGTCATGAACAAGTGTTTAGTTAAATTAATTTCCCAATCTCTTGTTACAATTAATAAAACTCAATTTTACACACCAACCCTAAAGTGGCTATGTAAGACTAGCAAGTATATCTCTATCTTATTAGCAAAAGTATCCATTCAACATGTAAATATCAAGTTCTTGCACTATTTTACCAAAATTCTACACTCAATCTAGCATTCTCAAGCATCAATCAAGTAAACCCAACATCTAAATGGTGGCCAATCACTTAGAAGTATTAAGAAAAGAGTAAAATAAAAACACACACACACACACACACACATCATTAATCACAAAAAGCGAGGAGGAACTTAGTGTTAATCCATACAAGAGTTCTAAATAATCATAAAACAAAGAGTTTAGCTACTCATAATCATTCACAAGCTACAAATATACAAAATAATTAGACTCATGTCAGATTACAAGATAGAAAAAGGAAAATGAATAGAAAAACTAAAGAAAAGGAGTTTCAAATGTCTTCAAAACTCCATTCCCTTGCTTCAAGCACTTCTAATGGCCAAACCCTAGCACACCCAAGCTCCAAATGTATCTAAAAGTAAGAGAAATGCATTCTGGGTTGAGCTCTTAGTATATATATGTCCTAGCCAATTAGTTTTTGATAAATAAGACGTACTATTTTTCTAACAGTGGTGAAAGTTGCGAATAAAAGTCACAACTTTTTTGACGACTTTAGCAGTTTTGAATTGTTTTGCAATTAACAAAATTTATCCTTTTTACACTTAATTTCTTTATCCAAAAGCCTTCCAAAAGTATCAACAAAAGCCCAAAAATGCATCTAATCAAATCTTAAACTAAAATAACATAAATTAGCCCAAAAGTATCAAATTAAAACCAAGAATGCAAACTCAAAGCAAAATACATATTTTCCTAATTTAGGCAATAAAAATATATATAAGTGAGCAAAAATGGATTAGAATTTAAAAAAATGTGATGAAATGACATGAAATTTTATAAATGAACAAGTGTTATAACTCATGGTTTTAGTTAGAGGAAATAAGAAGGGTATAAGGATGGTTGATCATTGCCTATGTGATTATATGACGTGTCACATATTTGAGTTATGGCAAGTCATGTTGATATATCGGGTCATAGTCATATGTTTAAATGTCTTGTGATAATGCACCTAGTATTTGTGAGATGAAAATGTGATAACTGGAATGATAAATTATCATATGTGTTCAAGTATGTTTAAAAACTTTGTTTCATATGCATATGTTTAATTACAGTTGATATATAACTGTATAGAGTATGTTTTAGTTTAGTTACTGAGTGGCTAAATTCACCCCTTTCATTTAACATTTTATAGGCTCTTGCTCTGGTGCTGAGAGGAATAAAGCTCCTGAGGCTTAAGAATCTATGCATTCCTTTTTGTATTCTTCTAATATTCATTTATTTTGTGTAATAAAATATTATTGTCAATTATAGGTTGCATTTTTGTTATATTTGTACTATATGGTTTACTTTAATGTTTAGATTGTATTTTGAGCTTTGAGTAATTGTGTATGATAAGTTATATATATTGATAGGGCCAAAATACTAGTACAAGTGTAGAAATATTATTTTAAACATGATATGATTGATTTATAAGGCAATGCAATAAAATTACCCCTTTTTGTTTTTGATATTAAAGGGGTTGAGTAGTGATTTTATGCTATATTAGAATTTGAGTGCATGTGGTGTGTTGTATTAATAGTCTTAGGTTCAATGAATATGGTTTGGGTGTTAGGAATGACTTTTGGCGCTTGTTTTGGGTTTTAGACATCCTTTTTGATTGTGAAAGTTGTAAAAATATGTTTGGGTATCCAATTTCTTAGTGTGACTTATTTTGGGAGTGAAATCTATGCCATTAGCTAGTTCATAAAGAGCTTTTTGTAAACACCTAAATCATGTCATTTGGATGTTGAATGGAGATTTGAGGCTCATTAGAAGTTCTCTGATTTTGCTGTCAAATAACAATAAAATTTGTTGTCAAAAGCATGCAACACACCGCAATGCATTGGCGCCTGAGCCATGATGCATGGCATAGAAGTCAACAAGTCGGGGCACATTGCTCTATTTTTCAGCAAACTTGATGTTTTCAATTTCTTTTACTCTTCAAAGGTATCCTATGCTTTCGTAACTTGCTTTTACTCTGATTTAAGAGTCAATGATTGGTTTGGACTCATTTTAACTTATAAAAACTTGGGATCTCTTTGTTTTGAAATTATAATTTAGAAATCAAAGTGTTTCAACTTGGTAATCTATTATGAGTTAATCTCTTGATTATCATAGTTTTAAATTGTTAATGGTATGCTAAGGTAGATATTTCAGTAGAAGATAATGCTAGAAACTCACCTCAAGTGGTTGGACAACCTAAAAATGACCCTAGGTCACATAAAAATTGTGCCTTAGCAGAGCTTTGCTGAAGTCTCTCTTTGATTTTCTCTCCTCTCTCACACTTATGTCCGAAAATGCAATTAGGGACAACTTATTAGGGTCTCACTTGTGTGTGGTTGAGACAAGAACAATCTTGTCCATGTGCGGATGAGTGTTTAGTGAAACACCCACTTTTTGCTTCCTCATCCATGTGCAGTCATGCCCAGCTCTATGCCCAAAATGAATAAGACCCAACCTTTTTAGGCCCAATTTAGCCCAAACACGTAATTTGGACCCTAATATACATTCTTATATAATCCTTAGGCTTGATTTATTCTATAATCGAGTGCCTAAATGTGTGATTAGCCCCGAATAAATTCAAATACAAGTTGCAAGAGTTATAACATGTTTTATATATATTTTTATAAAATTAAATACATACTTGTCATTACAAGAGTTAGAAACAAAACCTAAATCAGATACAACTAAACTAATATTAGAGATTTGTTTTACCATCATTATATTTATGTATATAATTATTTTCATTGCATATATGTGTTTGTTTCTTGATTGTGATAGTAATAGATAATATATTTTAAATATTAAAGACAAACTAAAATTCAACATAATGAATAGGGATTTCTTTTCATGACAATTTTCAATCATTTTGGTATTGATTCTTAGCTTATTTTGTGATCTCATTACAATCTAATCATGATTTTATCAGGTTTGTTTATATGTTTAATTCTTGTAAATATTTATCATTATATTCTCTTCCATTTTATTCTTCTTATGAATGGATAAAGTATGAATATCAATTTTTTAATAAATCGTTTCAATTTTTCATGTCATTTTCTAGTGAAGTGTGTGAGCGGATTTGATAACGTCTGTTTTACAATATAAAATAGAGAGATGTGAGTTTGCTTGTTGGGCCTCAAGTTGGCATGAGATGCTGGGCTTAGCAGAGTTTTCATGGAACCTGCAGACCCTACAAAAGTGTTAGAAATCGGCTGGTGGAGCTGTGTCCAGAACGTCATTATTGTTATCTCATTATGGAAGTTAAACAAGTTTTGAAAAAGACTCGGATCGTCCAACTGAAAGATGTCATGATATGACTAGTCTTGTTGCTACGTCAGGATAGGACGTGTTTTCCTATTATTGATTTACAAAGCATTCTCATTTAGAATTATTCTAATGTAGCTCTAATCAACATATTTCTTCTTCAAAAAATTTACATTGAAGAAAAGAAGTTTGTACAAATTTGTACTACCTCAGATCGTTTTTACAAGGTGATGCTTTAAAAAATTAAAAAGTAGTCCCAATTATAAAAAAATTTATGAAAATATGAAATGATTTATTTTTATCTTTTAATTTTAAAGATAGTCTTCAAATTAAACTTCAGAAAACACAATGGTCTTGCACAAAGGGCAAAGTATCTCTCTTATACTTATTTTTTGACCAAACATCCCTTTCATATTTTCATTGGCTACATGTTTCATAATAATATTATATCCTTTAAATTAATGATCGATTGTATATTATATAAATGGGATTGAGATATTTTTTAAAAAATAAAGTAACATAATAACTTTTATAATTCTAAATAAAATAAATGCATGTCTCAAACATCCTATGAAAAGGACCTGGCAGAGTATTTTTTTTTTCAAGTTGTAATGTGATTAATCAATGGCAATAAGCAATAGTAATTCTAAATTAGAACGAAGTAAATAAATGTCTTTGTTACATTAATAACTTGTATGCTAAAAGAGTTAGAGGCACTCAATTAAGAGCAGAAAAATCTCTCGTTGACCGGTTCTCCTTGTTTTCAAAGTTAAGCATTAACTTAAAATGCTCTTTAATTTTGTTATTTCCCCAAACCCTAGATCTGTCCCCTCATTCGCTTATTCTCCTTTCTGTCTTTCTTCTGCAGAAAAAACAAAGGAGAAGAAAGACGAGGAGAGAAAAAGAAGAACAACAACAACAAAAAGGAAAACATACATGTATAAATGCATGCATACATGCAAATATGCATGTGCATACTCATACGTAAGACAAGGGAGATAGATAGATAGATACAAACCCATACATAATCATATAAAAAAATTGATAATGGGTTTGTTTTATATGTTCTCATTGGCTCTAACTATTGGAATGGTGATTTTGACGTTGAAATATTTTGCTGGACCTGATGTTCCTAAATATGTGTTCTTCACCGTTGCCTACACCTGGTTCTGCTCCCTCTCCATCATCGTCCTCGTCCCAGCCGACATATGGACGGTATTTCCAATCCATTATAGTTTTATAGTTTAACTTATATACATACATACATACATATATATATATATGATTACAAGGATGTATTCTTGTACTGTTTGTAATTATCTGAATTTGTTAAGCATATAAAACTCGATTCATCATGAATTACAAGACATTTTATCAACTTGATTTCCTTCGGACTCAAAATGTTTTATAAAGTTTAAATAGCGTGATCTTGAGGATTGTAATCTGTTTTATTTCATAGATAGATAAACTGTTTTTAAAATGCAATTAACCTTACCCTAGTCGTTTTATTTCATGAAATAGACGATTCATCGAGATTATAGTGGAGAGATTTCCTTCTTGTGGAGTTTCTCATATTGGAGCACGTTCTTGCTTACATGGTAAGCTTCTTCCTTGTGGAGCTTTCAACGATTACTCAATCAATTCCATTGGAGATTATATATACATATGATATAGCGTTGTTTTAAACCTTGCTAGCTAAACCTTAATGAAAAGCTGATGAAGATGAACTATAACTAGTTTAAGTGATAGAAATAGAAACAACTGATGGCATATAGAGATTTGTAATAAATTAATTATTGGCCTAAACAGGGCTGTGGTTCCCACTATTCAGGGTTATGAAGATGCTGGAGATTTTACAGTGAAAGCAAGACTGAAGACTAGCATACATGGAAACCTAGTTTTCTATCTCTCTATTGGTCTTGTTGGGTTCCTTGGACTGATGTTGCTTGTTATTTTCCACACAGACTGGTTTGTTAATTTCTTACTTTTGTCGTTATAATTAAATTTATATATGGTGCTAATTAATTAAATTCCAATTAATGCTTAATTAAAATTGCCCTAGGACTGGAAATATTATGGGGTTTGCCATGGCTTGCTCTAATACATTTGGGCTGGTCACTGGTGCATTTCTACTTGGGTTTGGATTTATTGAAATTCCCAGGAGCCTTTGGATTAATGCGGATTGGAACACTCGCCAAAAGGTTCTTTCTCACATTGTTGCAAAATTGGCTGTCAAATTAGACAATGCTCATCAAGATTTTTCAAATGCCATTGTGGTAAGCCTCGTGTTACTTCTATTATATAACAATATTATATAACATCTTGGTGAAACTAAACCTCTACTACCAATAGTGGTCGCATCAAGCGGATTAAAAGGGACAATATTATAAGTTCCACATCAAGAAATCTCACAAGTGACATGGGATTTATAAGTGTGAAGAACTCTGCTATTTAACTAGTTTTTTTATTGAGATTCTTCCTTTAAATTTGTGCACCTAACATTAGGCCTTTCTCTTTAAGAGACCACCACAAGTAAATTGGAGTTTATAGCAGACAAATTGATACCCTTAAACAAAATCAAGTTATTAAACCTGATGCATACAGAAAAACCGCTTCTATTTAGATTCAATAATGCTTGAAATTTAGATTAGTCACTAGCTGGCCAGTGACAAGTACGTACTAGATAGTTATTTGCATTGCGAAACCTAAATTAGAATAGAATATACAGCTAAATTAAAACTCTTTTTTATTTTTTCTGTATGTGTAATAATAATGATGAAGCAATAAATCTGCATCAAATTCATCTGTATTATCAGGTTGTTCAAAAGGGCAAAAAACAAAACCTTTCGTACTATATCTTTTATATTTTGCAGAGATAATTTCTGATGATGGTGTGCATTATCAGATCACACAAGCAACATCTAAGCAGATGTCCAAGAGAGATCCTTTGAAACCCTACATGAATGTCATTGATAACATGTTGCATCAGATGGTAAGATCTATTAATAGGTGTATGTATATAACTCTGGAGGTGTTTCAGAGTTCATTCAATAAATGCTTGATATATAATTATTGTTATTCATTTTTCTTTTAATTTTTTTTAATAGTTGAAGGAAGATCCTTCCTTCAAACCACAGGGAGGGAGACTAGGGGAAAACGACATGGAATATGATACTGATGTGAAGTCAATGGCAGTATTACGACGTTACCTCAAAAGATCTCAAGAGGAGTATTACAGATATAGGAGGTATACATGCCTTCTAGAAAAAATTGATGGTCAATTTTATAAGCCACTTTGCATAAAATGCGGATCATTAATGCTTTCTCATAAAATTGACGGATGCTTTTGTCAAAGTGTCTCATATTTAGAGATACTTAATTATTTTCAAAAGTATCTTATAAATTAAGATGGAAAAAATACATTTAATAAGGGAAAATTGAAAAAAAAATCCTTTCAGACAATTTCAATAATTTAAATATTATATTTGCTTGGTTCTAGTAAAGTACTTAGAAGTTATTTATATAGACCAAACAGAAATACTGAATATCTAACAAAATTTTCTAGAACCTTAGAGTTGGGTTGATGAGTTAGATATTTGTCTCACTTTCTAGAACTTTATTAATATCAAGTAATAGATATTGATTAAATTGACTTAATTACTTCTTTTTTCAGTGAATATATAAAGTTTGTGTTGGAAGCCCTGGAGCTGGAGGACACCGTAAAAAATTATGGGAGTCGCAAAACTACTGGATGGTTTGCCCTTAACCTACCATTTTTAATCTTTGATTGTCATGTGTCTCCATTAATTAATTGTTCAAGTGTGGATTTTTAGCATTAGTATTCTTAAAGATCTTGCTTTTTGATATATCATTAGAAAACTAAGGTAATATTCTATCATTGCAGGAAATATATTTCATGCTTCAGACCTGAACGAACTGGTAGATTGGCTGGATTTTTGGATACAATCGGTATATTTTAATTAATTACCTCAAAATACTTGTGGTGTATGTATCTCATATGTATAATGAGAAACAAATTTAGTACAGTAGCTAGGCCTTTGAGCTTTTATAGTTCAACTTCGTTGGAAACATGTTTACCACTCCAAAAACTTCAAAACGATCGTATAGTTCTACTTATTACTAAATCAAATAACTTGAGAGTGAAAGACAGACATAATGAAGACAGATATTGCACATATCTTCTCTGCATTATGTATGTTATGAGTACAAATTTAAAAGGAACTGGTCCCAAAAGGCTAATTTGTTAGGTAGGAAAGGCACTTATACTTGTAAACTTCACTTCATTTGCGAGGCTCTTAGATGTGAGACTTGTGATAATTTCCATAGATAGCTCTTTTTGTAACAATAACTTCTTCATGAGAACACTAATATTATGAGTACAAGTCTAAAAAGAGAGTAAATTCTAAAAGATGATTCACTTTACTTGTGAGACTCCCTGATATGTGAGACCGATCATAACACAATACTAAATCTAAGTCTTCTTATATAAGCTGATTTCTTGATTATTTCATAATTATATGATGGTGGCTAAACTTTTGTTAATTATTATTATCATCATCAGAATTTGTATGGAGGTGCATGTTGAAGAAGCAGCTTGAGAAATCATTGGCTGTGACATTGGGTTGCATGTCAGTGGCGATTCTATTAGCAGAGGCCACCATTCTACCCAGTGGTGTTGATCTCTCCCTTTTCTCTCTCTTAATACGTGCTGTCTCAAAGAAAGAGATGCTTGTGCAGGTACGTGTGTGTGTGTGTGTGTGGATCGAGATAAAGTATATCCTATGAGGCATCTTATAATTAGGATAGAAAGGTATTGTTTTATAGGTTAGGAATAACAATGTAAGTTTGTTGGATTGTTTGGTTTGTTGGATCAGTTAGCAGGTTTCATCCCGTTGATGTACATGTGCGTGTGTACTTATTATTCCTTGTTCAAAATGGGAATGCTCATGTTCTACTCTCTCACTCCAAGACAAACCAGCTCCGTCAATTTGCTTATGATTTGTTCGTAAGCTCTCTCTCTCTCTCTCTCTCTATATATATATATATAAATGGATTGGTGATTAAATGGCTCCTTGGTTGCTAGAAATGATGAGAAATAAATGGATTAAATAAATAAAGATAAAAATAAATTAAAATAATCAAAAAGTGAATGGAAGACAGGTCAACCATGTCTATAAGAAAGAATGGTAAATTAGCTGATGAAATTGGGAGTCATGCTAATTCATGAGGTTTGTAATGGGTATAATGATTCTCACATTAATTTGCATGGTATGTGAATATTGGGTTTTATATATCATGTCTACCATTAAAGAAAAGATAATTTAATTCTTTTTTGTTCTTCTTTATTTATAACTCATTCCATTCCCTTCGTCTTCAACAACCAGAAAAGACTTGATTTGAATGGCTTAAATCGTCAATATATTAAAAATTTACTCAAGATGTATCACTTGCCCCACAAAAATGGGGGAATAGAGATATCACCTTTGAATTTGTATGAAAATGATTTTCATTTTTTTTAAGTGAAAAATGACTGTTATTTTGATGCCAATCTGACCTTTCACTTGATAAGAATGGTCCAACTATGTCGACAATAAATTTTTTTAATATTAAAAATTAACATTTTAAATCGATAAATTATCATTTGATATATATAATTCAGTTATGAGTAGAATAATTACAAATAATTGGGCTCTTGTGGTGATGTGTTTTGTAGGATGGTTGCACGATATGCACCTCCCATTTCATACAACTTTCTCAACCTCATTCATCTTGATGGGGGTGCCAAGACCATTTTTGAGCAGGTCATTTACTATCGTACGTCCCTTAATTTATTAATTAATTGATTTGCTGTTTTACAAATTATTGCAAATAATCCAACAGAAACGTGTAAAGGTTCGTGTACTCCTTTGGTCCTATTTAGATCACTCCCAATATATTTTATCAAAATTAAAAAAATTATTTTAAATTTTATTAAACTTATTTTAAAATTTAATAAATTTTTATCTCTACTTATAATAAGGGTAATAATTTTTTTCTAACAGTTTATAGGGGCAAAAAAATAAATAAATATAGAACATAGTGAAGTGCTATATAAATAAAATCAAAATTGATCTTCTCTTTATAATATATTACACAAAACTTTGACACAAATGATGAGTCACACAATGTTGCAACTTATTTGACCAAAAAAAAACAATGTTGCAACTTATTATTAGTGATTATGATTTATTAAAGTTTTTACATTTTATATTGACATTAAAATTTATATCTTGTTCAGAGGATGGGAAATATTGATGACGCTGTACCTTTCTTTGGGAATGGATTCAACAAAATTTACCCACTTATTATGGTTATATATACCCTTCTAATAGCAAGCAACTTTTTTAATCGGATCATTAATTACTTTGGAAATTTGAAGATTTTCAAGTTTACTGATGATACACAAGATATGGATGGTTTTGATCCCTCTGGAGTTATCATCTTACAGAAAGGTGAGTTCAAGCTGGTTACATATTTGCATACTATATTTAATTAATATCTGATATATAATATTTTTAGTTGGAAATACTATATGTACAATAATTTGTCACAAAAATACTACATTAAAAAAGTTGAATATACTATATTTAATTGAGTTGCTTTTTCTGTACTTTCCTTTTCCAAGTAGAGCATTTTTTTTAATCCACTCTTTGTCCTACTTTCCTTCAATTCAACCAAGACCAATTGGTTATTATCTCTGTGTACAATCCTATTCAAACCAAGTCTCTAAGAACCCTCACAGCCATTTTGTGTATTTAGTGAGATTGTTATATAATTACAATGCTAATTGGAAACTTTATACAGTGATTTTCTCAAGATGTTATCCTCATCTAGAATCCAACTTAACTTAAATCTCTTATTATTATAAGTTAGTATTGTATACCGGATGGTTTGATCCTTAAAAAATAAATCTGTCTTTTTTTATAGAGCGTTCCCTTTTACAAAAAGGACACAATGTTGCTGAGCATGTTTTCCCTCTAGCAAGGAGTTTCAGCATTAGTGTTGATGTTGAGTCCACCCACAACACCACCATGGTATGTCACCTTCATATATAAAGCTTATCCAAATGTCCAAATTAAAACTTGTTCGATGGATATTTAATTATGCTTCATTTGAATGGAGGAAAATAGAGAGGATGACAAACTTTCATAAATATACAGTATAGATACTATATTTAGAAGTTTTCTCTTCTAGTATTTCCTCCTCCTTATTTTCCTTTCACTTTTCCTTCCATATCTAAACCAAGCCTTAATATTGATTAGGGTTCAAATACTTCTACTGTAACTTCATTTTCAATCACTACTTTTTTCAGGATAAAAGCGAGGATATCACCGAGACTACAAAAAAGAAAAATAATGACAAACATAGATCAAGAGACGATGATGAAGTGATTCGTAGTGACAAGAGCAGAAATCTTGGGAGCCAAAAGTACATTGCTTTAAGGGCGAACAGCATGAACGAAGAAGTTGCCATTAATAATGGAACTAATGATAGTATCAACAACATAAGTTCACCAACCTTACAAAGAATAGTTTCAAGATGGGAAACCATAAAGACTAGACTTTCAAGTTTAAGACCCAACAGATTCCTTGCTCTCACCAGTACTCATGTTCATAATCAGGGAGGCAACAATGCTGCTTCCCACTCTTCAAATGATTCGCTTGATGAAATCTTTGAGAGGATAAAACATCCACCTTCTCAATATATAGATTCTTAACCCTCATTGAAGTGATGTGGGAGCTGCCAACACGTGGCCGGCACTACGTACTCCCACCAATTAATGATAGTAATTTTTTTAAAAAAAATTGTATATAGGTGTCATTTTATTAAAGTAATCTTGTTTAAGATATTATTGAGCATTAAATGTGAGCACTTCTTCAAACATAACTTCAAATCTTGATTCACTGTATTATGAGAAATTAGTCCCTTTTAATAAACTCAGCTCTCGGTATGAATTTTATCTCTATATTGGTGAAAAAATGTATATATGTAGGTAAATATTTTTTCTGGACCACAATATAAAACATCTTCTAGAAAATTTGCCTGGTCCAAAATATAGGATATTTGATAACTTTTATATTTATTTTTTTAACTGTATCCCTATTTAATTTATTACACTTTTTGAAAAATCATGCATTGAAATTTTAATTATTATTATCAAGGCTTTTATATAGAGTATTTAATGAGGGTATAAATGGAAAGATATAGACAATTTTAATAATTTAAGATTTTAATTAATATTATTCATAAACTGTGAATTAATTAATTATACGTTATATTGTACTTCGAAGAGAGTAATATATTATTCCAATTTCCACCGTTTGAGTATTCCTAACGAGTGATTTTCTTTCATTTAGTATTTTCATGAAAGCACTTAGCCTGTGATTGTGCAACTCTCATTAAAGGTGAGATTTAACCCTTATATTTGAATCGTCCAGGTTTAATGTAAACAGTCCAAATCTTTTCTTTCCTAAGTGGAGGGGCACAAAAAATAAATGTTCCCCAAAGAAGAGTTAGATTACCGAAACGATGCAGGATATTTAATTAAATAAGTTGATTCAAGTGTCTATATCAAGTTAATGATTCTCTCATGCTCTCCCCCTTCCACTAGCAACTTTTTATATCACATTCTTTAAATTTTATAGAAGGCATTTCATTGGTTTTTTTTTTAAATGAGCCTAAGAATATTTAATGTAACTTTTTTATATTTATTCTCTTGATGATGGGCATTTAAATAAAAATATAACCTTTTAGCTTTTACTAAGTCAATCTTGAAGGAGGCATATTTGATTGCTTGTTGAAAAATGGGTCTAAAAGATTAAATGTAAATTTTTTATGTTTATTTTCTTCATGACTGGCACTTAATTATTTAATATATACACACACACATACTTCTTTCATTAAAAAATATAAAGCATTTTTAACCGAATCTCATTCCTCAATGAAGTTGTAACTTACTTTTAAACTAATCCTATCTTTTTATATTTATCTCTACTAAATATCCTACAATAAATATAAAGTCATTATTAATAAAGGTACTTTTAAAAAAAATAATTATACCTCAAAAAACTAAAAATGCCTTACATTTTTAAACATCAAACTCTTCAAAAAAAATTTATATTTTTGAACGGACAAAGTATATATATTTGCAGGTTCTTACAGTTTTATTCAATTTTGAATTAAGTCCCTTCATGTTATTTTGTTTTGATTAAGTTCTTAAAGTTTGATCAGTTAACTTTTTTAATCCTTGAAGGTTAAAATTGTTAATTTTTTCTTTAAGAAAATTATGAAATTTCATATTTTTATTAAATGATTATATAACTTTAGAATTAATTAAATAATTTTATAACTCAAAATTTATATAATTAGGTTGGCTTTTAAATATTTTTTATACATATAGAATTGTCATAACAAATCAATAAAAAATGTACATAGTGTATTAATTTTTTTTTGAAATTTTGGCTAACAGTATTAAATTAAATTTTTTGTAAACCCTGAGAATATTTTTGCTTTGTGAAATTTAATAATTCATTATTAATTTTAACCTTTAAGAATTAAAATTTATAATAGATCAAATTATAAGAGTTTGATTAAAATAAAATAAATTACAGTAATGTAATTCAAAATTGAGCAAAACTATAAGGGCTTGCAAATTATTTTTTCATTATTTTAATTATTTAAATAAAAATTATCAATTTTTTATTGATATGAGGGTTATCTCTCCATATATGGCGTTATAATTTAATGTTAAAAAAAGTAGAAACTAAATTTGATATATTATAAAAATTAAATTTCGGAGGTGAAGATGTAAGTGTTATTTGAATATATATAGAAAAGATATATTCTAAAAGAAAAAACAATTTGTCGATGAAAAACAATCCTACATTGATTAACAAAATTTATAGTGGACATTTGGACAACCTAGGATAAGAAGGATGACACCTAAGGAATAAAAACAACGAATAATTATATGCATTCAAACCAAACCCCATACTAACCGAAGATATCAAAGCCTCATGAAGTGCTAAAAGTTGAAAGAGCCTTTCAACTGTGATTTTTAACCTGAACCACCCCCAATATATTACAAAATTCTAGAAGCAAATGATACAATTTCATGAATAAATTATTTGAATTGATTTTAATATGTTTAGGTAACAAACATCATCAACTTAAAAAGCTTAGATTTGTTTATTTCAAATTTATAGTTATAATTTATAGGAATGAATCATAATTTTGATAATGATTCAACTACAATTTTAATTATTTACTTTTAAACTAATACCTTAATTGATTCAACAATCAATTTAATTTTTAATATCTCTTGTCCATGTATTTTCTATGAAAAATAAGAGTTAATCAGAATTAGAAAGCATAAGGAGAAAAGTGCAGATACCTGAATATATATATATATATATATATATATAAAGTGCAAGGTATAAAAAAAAAAGTGTAAGGTGTAATAAAACTTAAGCAAAATATAAGGACCAAAAGTAATATTTTTTCAAAATCTTAAAACTCTCACTTAAAACTAACTAATGCCCCATTTGGTAAGCTAATAATGGAGAGTACATAAATGGAATTGGAGGTGGAATTAAAACTTAAAGTGATAAAAAGTAAGAACAAAGGGACAAAAATACCAACCAAAGAACAAAAAACTGCCATTGATAATAATAATAATCCTACATAGCGTGGTTTGGACGAGAAGTTCCAAATTTTTCAGAATATCAACTGATATAATAAGAAAAGAAGTTATAATGAACAACTTAAAAAGGATGACATCTAATGAAAACAAACAAAAGATAGTTATTTTTTTTTTAATGGACAGTTATATGTATCCAAAACAAACCACATACTAACCAAAGAGATCAAAGCCTCGTGAAGTGCTAAAAGTTGGGATTGGAGCTTTCCAACTTTGATTTTTAGCCCAAACCACCGTGGATATATTACAAAATTCTAGAAGCAAATGATACAATTTCATGAATAAATTTATTTGAATTGATTTTAATATTTTAATGTAACAGACATTGTCATATAACAAGCCTAAATGTGTTTATTTCAAATTTATAGTTATAATTTATAAGAATAAATCATGATTTCACTGCAATTTTAATTATTAACTGTTAAATTAATATTTTAATTAGTTCAATAATTGATTTGATTTTCAATAACTCTTATTCATGTATTTGCTATGAAAATAAGAGTTAATTAGAATTAGCAAGTGATTCTTTCATTTATGTATTGGAGTTGAAGAGTCCAGGAGGCTGTAATATAATAGAGGTAAGATCTTCTCAATCACTCAATTCAATCATTATGAGGACTCCTTTGCTCCTCCTGCTTTACCTTTATCTAATAGGGGTGGCTTTTGCAGCTTCGCTTAACTTTTGATGTTGTCATCACGCTACTTTTTCCATGCCTTTGAATGGGCCTATACATGCTCGTCAAGCTACACCTGAACTTCTTTCTCAACAAGCATTAAAAGCTATGATAGAGAACCTAAATAGAGCATTTGTAAGTTGAGATTCCTTTCCTATGTTTCAAAGCTAGCTTCTCTAGCTATACTGTGTGACCCACCTCCTCCCTTCGCTCTCTTGCTAGAGCTGGTTCTAAACTTACCTTTTCCTTCCCCAAAACCTAAAATGCGATTTAGAAATGAACTTAGTTTGCTTCTTTTCTTTCGGCCTATTAATCTAGGCGAGCATCTACTCTTTGACTTTGCTTTTTTGAACTTACCTCTTAAAAATTCAACAACTCCAACTTAAAACCAACTCAAGTTTTAAAAATAAAGTAAAATATAGATATAAATATAATAAAAAAAACATATATTCATGATATAAAAGAAAATAAATTTAACTTTATTATTATATTATTAAAAAAAGTAGGGTTCACATGAAAGTTAATAGGCTTGAGCTTTGCCTTTTGCTTTATCAATTTACCAATTCAGGATATCACTCTCAGCTTTGCCTCTCTAAAAATGAAGAGAAAAAAAGTAAAGAGACTCCTCTTCCGTATAAGCAATGTATCGATGGGCATTGCTCTGCCACTTTCTTTCTTTCTTTTAGTAAATGAATTTTTGGTACACTGAAAATTAAATTTTTGGCAAATGGACTTCATTAACCCTAAAATGAAACACATCCCAACGCTGACATTGATTCACAAGCCATCCGCCTCCTCATCTTTGTGGCTCTTCCTTTTCAAAATCCTCACAAGGATCAGAGAAGCGACTTGCACCATCACTCTTCTTCAACCTGATTCCCATGCAAACGTCATATCTCTCCATCACACCTTCCTCTTCTATAGTCAAGTTCTCAGATACATCTTTAGCATCAGCTTTACCTTCCAAAGGTCCTCTCATTCCGACGCTTCCAGAAATCCTAGCTGCCCCATCGACTGTGATTTCTTTGATTAAATAGCTTCACGTAATAGTTTTGAATTTTATTTTATTTTTAATAATTCTTGTGTGATCCATTTTGAAAAAAAATTGCAGTTTTTGTCTGTTTACTTGACTTTTTCATTTTTTTGCTTACTCTCTTCTCCCCCCAGCTTGTGCATATTATTTTTACTTGATTTTTCTCTTTCCTGACAATTCTTAAATATTTTTCCTGAAATTGTAGTTAGAGAACATTAGTTTATAAGTTGGCGTGATTGCTTGTCATTTACTACTTGTTTAGATTTAGTAGACTATCATAGAAAATGCATAACAATTGTAAGTAGCGTTCGGCTCTTACGTGAATTATGCTATTGTTTTTTTCCCAACTGGTCTGACGACATATAAGGACTAAGGTCGTTAATTCTTCTATAATGTATATCTATCCATCATGTTATGTTTGAAGATAAACACGGCTCGGTAGTGGTCTCTTATTTAATTATCCTTGTGTGTGTTGTACGATACAGGGTAGATA